AAAAACAAAATACTAATCTTGGTCTTGACAGCTCCAACAAAGCAGGGGCGTAAGCACGTTTATCAGTTTCACTGATATGAATTCTAAGCAGTGTTTATTTTATCAACAAAATTTTTTTTATCAATAACTGTTCACTGACGTCCTTATTTCATGGCTAAATTGTAACAACGTAAATGAAAAAATACTGACAGCAAAAATGATGGTAAAAATCTCTGTTTGTTATTCCCTGACGAGCAAAGTTGAGACAAAATACTTGGCTCTGCTTGGGCAAACAACCTCAGTCAGTAATCACCTGTGTTTTCAATTTTAATTGTGTCAGCAATTAGCATGCCTTACTTCAATAGCATATTGTTTAATTTAACATAGCCTAGCTAGCTTGTGGTAAACATGCACTTCTTCTAAAAGATGATTTATGATTTCTAACAACTCATAAACAGACACTATTTCATTCTGTGAACATTAAGCACAATTTGGTATTAATTTTAGCTCCATGTGATGTCAATAAACATGTTGTATCCCAGATATCATTATTGCTTGTTTGCGTTAACTACATTGTTTCCTGAATTTTTACAAATGTTGATTTCTGAGTGAAACATGATGCCAAATTTAGCAGAAGACCTCATTAATATCAGATATGTAAAGTATCTGTAATATAAATAACTCTGGGCATTCATTTTTATATTATATGACAGAAATAAGGTCAGTCAGTAACACATTCTCAGCCCAAATAACGAATGTATGCTTACTTCTTACTGGAATTTTTATAGCCAGGAGAAATATCTTTCAGCAAAATCCACTACAGTATCATGAATCTGTCTGAGAAAATTAGAACTAAAACACTGACTGAAATTCATCTAAAATAAAATTAAAGTCCCACTACATCTTGACTAAAACAAAACAAAAAGACTAAACTGTCACTTTAAACCAACTACAATTTTCAGTAAATGACAAAGACTCTTGTCAAAGTGAACACTGATTCTAAGCACTGTGACAGCACTGAGAGGTTACTAACTTAAAAAGACAATAACACAGCTGTGTGTGCTGGCTTTGTTTACTTGTTCATCATTGGTCATGGCACTCCATGGTAACTCATCTAGGTTGCGATGAGGGTGGGGCTTAGGCTTCCTCTTGGAAAACAGACAGGGTGAACTTGGCACACTCGGGATGATGTCCGAAAGGACATCACTGCCGCTGGCAATGTCACTTCCTGGTAACTGGGTGGACAGAAGTAAGACAGGCAGACAGTGAGCAGCAGAGAAACATTAAAAGAGCACTGATTACTGGACAAACTATCCTGTAAATCACTGAAACACCCACACTCTCTGTGTTTGATGCAAACAAATAATGCAACTAGGTTCTCATGACTTCCATCCTAAAGCACCTGAAATTAAAATCAGCAGTATTTTTAACACATCCTTGTGGTAAGGCTGGGCGATATGATGGTATAAACTGTGCAACGGCAGGACTGTGTATTGCCAAATCTCTGGTAGAGTTTTGGCAACAGTGTTAGCTATCTGGGGGCAGGCTATGGAGCAAATCAGGGTTGGATTCTTGTGTGATCTTGTGAATCCACTTGCCTTGCTAAGTAACGTGATTTGGGCAGACGTGGAGGAGTAGAGTGAAGCTGTAAATACAGAAACATGTATAACTGGAAATTATTGTTCTCAGGAAGCTTAAAGCTTCTGTTTTAAAAGAATTTTGGTTTTAAGTGTTGTCTCATGTGGGGCAGGTGTTATTTGTTTGTATTAGAGTTTCAAATAAAAGAAGGAAACAGTTAAATGTAATGAGATAAGGTGATGTTGTTTTAAACCATTTCTTAATTGAATTTAAAGAACAATTACTTTATTGTGATGTACACTGTTACCGTGATATAAAATTACATTATACACAGAGACAGAGGATCCTGGCCATATCTCCTACCACTAACTTCTAGTTTACATAACCAGCTGGAAAAACTGACCTGCCACTCAAACTCGCTGTCAGACCAATCCCAATAGGTGCTGATAGAGGAGGAGACATCACTGCAAACGCTGCCCTCTGGAAACAGGTCCAGAGATGTTAGTTCTTGGTCATCCAGGAGGGAGTAACAGTCGTCCTGATCCCCCACAGACACAGAGGAGAAGAGCTCCTCACTGCACTCTGAGCTGGCAACACTGGTCCCACAGGAAGTAAGGTTCCACCTGGAAGAACAATGAGTGAACGTCAAAGTTCCTTCTCAACATGAGTCATTTCTGGAAATTGTTCAGATCATTTTCCTGAGACAGAGTGGTTGGATGTACATTTTAACAATGCACATGTCTTAGATTGTTGTCTTAACAAGGGATTTACAAAAATATAGATGCAAAAGTCACTGAGGATTTTTTTTAGTGTCAGCTGCATGTAACTATTTATATAGTTTTCTGCACAGTTACACTTTAACAGAGGCAAGAGGTTTAGTGGAGATTTTTGTTTATGTGGAACCCTGTGTTTTCTATTTCAATTGATAACCAACTGCTAAGTCTGGTACAACTGCCCTTGTGCTGTATATTTGGGAGTGAGACAACGCAAACACACACACAGTATGAAATACATCAATACTAGTGCACTGCCAACTTGACAAGCACATTAACATTTGTCGATAGCAATGTGGTGAATGCCACCGGCAGCTGCAATGACATATACTGCAGCAGATGGTGGAAGGTCCAGCTTTTGTCCCTTCGGATACCCTACCATAAAAACGGATATAGTAAATTAATTTCCAAAACAACTATGAAATAACCTTTGAAAATACACTCAGAAAGTCAAGTTTACCTCACAGACAAGTGACACACACGTTGTGAACACAAACACACACTGTCTACTTGCCTGTTACTGTGAAAGCGGTGTAGAGGATCTGTTCTGTGACAAGATGAGAGTTGACAGCCAAAGTCACTGACGTCCAGGGTTCCCACATCACTGAGGTTGGCTCTTTGGGAGAGGAGAGGGAAAGGCTCCTCTGGGGCCAAAAACTTCTCATACAGAGACTCAGACATGGCTAGATGTTCCTGGCACAGAAACAGAAGCAAAGATAAGACAAACATCACAGGGCATTTTGAAACAGAGCTACAGTCTCCAAAATAATCGTCAAATTCAATAAACACATCTGACACGCTCTCAAAAACAGCTTCACAAAAAGGTAGTACGTATTGATCGCAAAGTTGTTGTTTTGGACTGCACTGGCTTCTACAGGTGTCCAGGGCTGTGTCATATGATAGTCATCTTGCATAAAGTTTGTTTGTGATTTATGGTTTATAGCCATACCACTATAAAACACCTCACCTCTGTCTGACAGAGAGCACTCACAGCTCTCTTCAGCCTCTCCTCTATAGCTATAGCTTAATAGTTATGTTAAAACCATTTGTTTGCACTGCTGGTAATAACAAATTGCACACTTGTAGCTATTTTGTACATTTTTACAACCTCTACCTCACTTCTGAGTGTTGTGTATACAGTTTGATCTTTTTACTCTTGCAATTTGATATTCTTTATTTTATTTTATTTCTGTATATTTTGAATTTCAGTACTAGTCATTTTTGTATATATTTTGTATTTCTACATTCTAATGTCCACATACTGTTTGATTACTTGGTGCTGTAACACAAGAATTTCCCAGTTTGGGATCAATTAAGTACTATCTATCTATTTATTTGTATACAAGATTATTGATTCCAAGTCTAAACAACAGACTCTCTGCTCATGTTCTTCTATACTAACAATGCTTGCAATATTTAACACCAATACACTGTGTTCATAACAAAGTAGAAAAAGTATCCTTATAGATTTTACATCCTTTTTTTCCTGTAAAGAAAATGTTACAAAGATTGTGGCAAAATATAAATGACGACTCAATTTTTATATTTACAGAATATGATTAATCTATTTTCCCATTGCTTACACTCACTTAGATATGCAGATATTTATCACTAGGAAAGTTGGTAGCAATGTGCAGATTAATGTGTTTTATGTCACATGGTGTTTTCTGTTCTGGGGTGGAAGTTAATATTGATTAATCTTACATAACTCATTTCGGGTAAATTTCACATTAGAAAAATACATATGTACTGCTTCAAACATCTTGTAATCAGAGTCTAGTTGTATGGCACTTGAATTTACAGACAGGAGGACTGTAATGAAAAGGCCACAATATATATTTATGCATAAACTTAACCGAATGAACACTTCAAGAGAGTCGCCTTGAATAAAGGTAGCTGAAAAAGAAAAAACACTACAAAAATGTCGCACCCAGTCACTCAACAACGCAAAACTTTTTTGTCCATCCAAATACTAGCAAGCAGTAACATCTGGATTTTGAATTTCGATCTTTGCTGGTAACGTTAACATTAATAACGTCAGTGGGCAAAGCTAATTAATTTACCTACTGATTATGTTTTTTCTTTTCTTTCTTTCTTTTTTTTTTTTTTGCCTAAACTGCTCACTACTGTTTATTGTTGACACTAGATTTCATCCACATTAGGCATCCAACTCCCATAACGTAACTTGTTTTTCTTAACAACACACTAAAATGCTTCAATATAAACATATCGTCGTATGAAGAAAGGTGAATCAAATGAGAATCCAGCATTAGATAAGGTAGCCACATTAGTTTGGATACACTTTACATTAACATTAAACTTCGATATCGTCTTTGCTAAAGACGAGCAGCCTGTAATTTGAACACAACACAAGCTAACACTGTTAGCTAACGTTTGTTGCTAATCCCCCGAATGTCCACGTAGCGTTTACAAAGCCACAAAACGACACTGAACTAATACTTTCCACCCACTAACACATCTGAACGGTTTATTAACCTGGTGCAGTTGTAATTAAGAGGCTATCTACATTATAACACCAACCTTTCGTCGTTCAAACAATGCTCATTTCTGCCACCTCCATTTGCAAATCCTTTCTTTTCTACGGATGATCTAAGCTGTCACCGCGAGACTCCCGGGAGCGAGCACAGCGTCATGTGACGTGAAGGCGGAAGTTGTCACATAAACAGAGAACTAGCATAAAACAGCACAAACGCCTGTGCTTCAATTTATCTTTTTGCCGTTTGTTATCTCAGCAATATACAGTATATTATTATTATATATATTATTATTAGTGCATGGTGAGTCATGTCTTCAAGCCATACAAAGGACTCCAGCTTTTTGGGAGGCAGGATACCTCCAGAAATCGAGTCCATGTCGAAAAACCTGAAGGATGTGGACCAAGAGTTGTTCAGAAAAATACTGAAAGGTAACGTTAAATACCAGTTTGAGCGAGATAATAGTGTCTCCCTAAAACGGCTTTCGTAAATTATAAATGTTTTTAGCTAATGTCACTCATTACGGACTTGTCTGTAATTTTCTCAAAAAGTAATGATATTAAGGAACCAACAGCCTTTGCTGCGAAATTTTGACAGAAAGATGTGAAGCTAAAATGACGGTATAAGCAGGAGACTCCTACCAAAATGCTCCTGCTGATGCATGCATGCTCAGCTCTAATAAGACTCAGCCCACGAGACTCTGATCAGTACTATCAGTTGAAGCCATCAAATGAGTGAGTTAAAGGGATAGTTCGGATTTTTTGAAGTGGGGATGTATGAGGTACTTATCCATGCTGTGGACAGAGGACAGCAACAAAAATTTAAAAGTCCTATATAAAAAAAATCTATATCAGTGTACATGTATGCTATTTTGACAGTATGTTCAGTGCTTTACTTTGCCATCAGACAGCCCGTTTCAATGGGAAAGCCATTAATGGCTTCAGTTCCCCATCTGTGCTCTCATCAAAGCTGCCAGACTCCATTTAGAAAACAGTCATTTTAGCCTGCTGAACACGGGAGCTGCTGGTCCACCAATGCTTCCATCAGTTAGTTAGTTTGTGTTATTGTGTGACTTTGGTGAATCCAGATAAATCCTATTAAATGCCAAAGTCCCACAGTAACACAAACAAACTAAATGATAGGGCCAGCAGTAGTCCAGCAGCTCCTGTGTTCAGCAGTGTTAAATTACTGTTTTTCTCAACGGAGTCTGGCTTTGACGAAAGTGATATAATGGCTTCATTTTTCCGGTGGATATCACTGTCTGACATTTAGGTAAAGCAGTAAGAATATTCTAAATATAGCATACCTTTAAATTGATAGTCATTTTTTTTGGGTGGCTACAGCAGTACATTGCTTAGCTTCCACGTCAGACTCCAGCCTCCTCCGCCAAACTAGGGGCGTGCCGACTGACATCTACTCAATGAAATATACTGTCTGTGGATAAGTACCCCATACAACCCCACTTCAAAAGATCTCAACTATCCCTTTAATGTGCCTTGAATTTTTCTGTGTCCAGCTGTGGTCAGTGCTCTGGAGGGGAAGGACTGCAGAGAGGTGATGAAGTCGATAGCGGACAGCAGCATCATCCCACAGGAGAGGCTCAGTCACATTGTAGCTGGAATGTACAGAGTGCTGTCTGAGGCCATTCGTATACCCACATCATCACTTAAACAGGAGGTAAGCTGGTGATAAACTCTGGAAATTATATGTTGGAATATGTTGGCACACAACTCAAAATCATTCTGCGTCAGTAACTTGGCAGCTAACAGATGGGCACTGCAGACATTTTGACATGTCAAAGCATGAAAAGCCCAGGTGTGACTGCATTGGATTCAGGTGTCCACACACCTGTAGGGGAATCTAGGGCAACCAATGCTAACTGCTTCCTCTACATAAGCATGGAACTACACATTAAGATGTAAAAAAAAACATAAAGTCTTGAATAAATTAATCCTCAATGTGTTGTTTGTGTCCCTGTTTAGGCCTTCAGAGAAGATCTTAGAGAACTGAGGCAAGTCTCATCATTTTATCACATCCTCGGTGTTTTGATGCATTATCACTCCTGCTTATAACACAACACAATTTCAACCTGAGATGCTGAATTTGTTGTTTCTGTTGTGTTTTGTCACGTAGGATACCTGAAGACTTTATCACAGATTTCTCCAGTGTGGTTTTTGGCAGCAGGTATGTCAAGTTTACAGCCTCTGAATGTAGACATTGATACATTTAGTCGCTGTTTTTGTGTCTTCTTATGAAAGCACAGAGCTCCCTTTAAAACAGTAAAGAAAACATGCCTTTTTCACATTGCAATTTAAACTTGTTAGGCCAGTGTTGTGGTCGTGGTCAGTCAGACTGTGTGTTTTCAGACATTCTCTCAGATTTGTCCATGAATTCAGAACAGAGCTGCTATGGCTGTCATTCAGATGCTGTTCATAGATACATGCTGTGACACACCTCTCTCTGTGTTTGCAGGCGTGCAGCTCTAGAATCAGCGGCCTCCCAGAGTGATCCACACCTCCCCACAGTAGAAGACTTTAAATGGAGAGTGGATGTTGCCATTTCTACAAGGTAGGGGAGGGAAGACATGTTTTTGTTTTTCAACCTATAACTAATTCATTGAAGCTTTTCTATTTTTGTTGTTTGGTGTCTGCTACATCTTTCCTGGGAAAATCTCTCAGACATGGGACATGTTTTATGCGTGTACTTTGTTTGTAATAAATACAAGGAGAAGTGGATAGTCGGACTGAGCAGGAATGGTCACCATGGTGGAACAGACTTAGCAGACATCTGCTAAAAAAAAGGTCCATCAAAAGAAAAACATGTTTTGGACATATTTCTTGAAGAAATATAATTTCTGTGTCTGTGTCTCATCTGTCTCCACAGCTCTTTAGCCAGGGCCCTGCAGCCTTCTGTTCTGATGCAGATGAAACTGTCAGATGGAAGCTTTCATCGCTTTGAGGTATTTAAGCAATTGATTTGGTCTTGATACCACAGGCAGGTTTACATCCTTCTCAAAGTAACCTGTTGCTATTCGAAAAAATTGAGCCCAGATAAAAAAATACAAAACCCACTGAGTATAATGCTTCCATTTTGATACCAGTACTTAAGGCATATAGACCAGTGTTCCTAAAAAAAAAGAGGAAGACTTATTGCCAAAAAAGGCATGAATGATCCAGGTCCAGGCATATAAGATGGTTTGAAAAAAAAAGAAAATATCTTCATTCCAACAGGCTACAAACCTTAAAAATACACCAATGCCTGTCAACTTGCACCTTTCTCAGGGTGTAGTGCCACACAGAAATAAACCAAGTGACCAGAGTACCTAAAAAAGAAAATATAAAATTTATATGAACAATTTTGTTTTTTAAAAAACACCCAGTCATCTATTAGTTAAATATCAAATGACATAATCAGTTTCTTTTTCAGTCCTCTCAATAGATTTTGCTGCAATATATATGACATAAGTGAGATAAACAGACTGAATACTTAATCTTATTAGATAAAATAGATGTTGAAAAAGTTTTCCTTCTGGGATATATTTAGCAGTTGAAAAAAGGTACTAAATCACAATATAACACAGTATGTGTTTTTGCAATACTCAGTATGGCAAAATATTATATCGTGACTTAGTATTATGACAGTATGGTGTCATGGGGCCTCTGGTGAATCCCGCCCCTAATATTTTGTGTCATTATATCATCACACTAAAAAACAAAAAAAAATCTTCTAACAAAATCCTCGCTTTAAATGAAGTGATTAATTGGGATAAATGAGTTAGTCTGTTTTCATTAAATCAACTTCCTTTAGTATTTTATTGTGCTGTTATTTACTGCTAGGCCACCCTGTTACAGTTTTTCTCGATTGTTTACACACATTTTCTGAAAGCATGCCTCATACTCTCAGAACTCTACACACAAATCAAAAAACACACACACAATGGGCAAAACCCCTCAATTCTCCTGCGAAATGAAACTTTACATTCAAAACAATGTTATTTCTTCTCAAAATGGTATTTTGTTTTCAAATGACACACACAAACCATTATATGAATAGACATTTATAAGAACCAGTTGAACACTGATGTGCTCAATGTAAAACACTATTATGAATGGAAAACACTTCTTCTCCATTCATCATAATGACTTAGGCCTTTTTTTTGTTCATTGTTACACTTACTACAGACAGTACATACATAAGTGTGTTGTAAAACATTTTAGAATATTGTTTTTATACTCAGAACACACAAATACACAGTAACAAATATATTTTATTTTTCCCACAAAAACAATGTACACAGTGTACATCCCAACCAACACAAAGTTGCACATACAGTGGTCTACATACAAAACAACAGAAGAATTTACTGTATACAGTTACAGTAAAAAAAAAAAAAAAAAAAAAAAACACCACTATGCTGCATCCTCTCTTCTGTTTCGGTCTGGCCACAGCACCTCATCCACATCACAAGCAATGTTTTCCCTGGCCAAGCAGCGGGGCAAATATCGCCTAGCATGGCAAATCCAGCCATGAAAAGCATCAACTGCTATATCTCCACATGCATCTACCATAGCTTGGAGAAGGGGTATACGCGTTTGTGGATTTCGGTCATACACTTTCCATCTCCAGGCAGAAAAAGTGGCTCGGATCTCATCAGAGATTACGATCCTTGGCCTTCCTCGTCCTCGTCCTCCCCGTCCTCCTCCTCCTCTTACTCTCACTCCTCTGGCTCTGGCTCTGGCTCTGGCTCTGTTTCCAATGTTGGCATCAATTGCTCCAAAACAGAAAAGCTCACCTGTTGCCCTTTTAGGCTAAAGATCTGATTGCTAATTGTAAAACTGTGTGACAGGTGTTTGCCCATGTGATGAGTCAGTGTGCATAGTAGGGCCATTAACTTTAGAATTTTGAATGACAGTGTGTTCATTGTGAAAACAAGAGCTTTTCTTCATGAAAATTGTGCCAAATGCAGAGAATTGTGTGTAGTGTTTCGAAAAAAATGTGTGTTAGAACTGCAATTTGAGTGTAAAGCAGGAATTGTGCTTGTAGTTTAGCAGAATTGGTTCAGGGGGTTGGTGCATGAGTTACATGTTGTGGTCATTGTGTCTCAAGTACCAGTATTTGTGTGTAAACAATTGAGAAAAACTGTAATACAAGTGCGTGCCTCCCTTTGTGTGTGCCAGCGGAGAGGAAACAGTTTTGTGACCACAGTGAAATTGCTGGTTTTGAAAGGCTGAACGGCAGCTAATGTCGATTGAAGCCAAATATTTTGTTAGATGAGAACATGTAAATTTTGGAAATTATAACATTATCTTTTTCAATAAATTTTGACTTTGGACTGGAGTAACTGGAAATGTTTTGATCACAGGAGTGAGAAACACTGCTGGTGGCAGCCAGAATCTAATTCTACCGACATTTAAACAGAATGAATACACACATAAAAAAAGCTTTGCAGCATTCGAATGTCAATGAAGAAATTTATTGTCAATGCCATGAATGAAATTTAAAAGCTCAAACTATTTAGTTCAGCCCTAATTTCCAGGGAATCTCCAGCCTGTGGGCAGAGAGAGGTTGGTCGTTAGCCAGTGGGCTAATTAGGTCTGTTTCAGTTGTTACATAATAAGATCACAGTGGAATAATTGAGGTAACGTTTACTAACTACAGCCTAACCTAGAACCTGTTCCTGACCTAGTGTACATGATGACAGTATTGTTTCTATGTTTACACCATGTCTGCATGGTTCTACTTATTGTATAACATTTATTACAAAGCAGTGTACAACAGATGCTACAGAAGTGCCATTTTTTAAAGAATTGTAGCTGGACCTCTGACTGTGTTTCTTCTGTCTGTTCTTACAAAATTATCAGTTTAAATGACAAGGGAAAAGACCAAATCTTCAGTTCAAAAAATAAGCAAAAGACATAACAATCTGACTTTATATAAAGAAAACAATTGTAGTTTTACTAAGCAAACAGCAGCAACCTTTCTGCCTACACGTCCCAGAAACAACCATTATATGAGAAAAACAGTTATAACTTGTATTATAAAAATATTAATGTACTCTCAAGAAAAATGGCCCCTAGTCACAGGTGATTTTGTAAATGATACAAAGAGTGAGAAGTGAGAAAGTTGACAGCAAACTGGATCAAATCTTCAACAAGTTAGTAAGATGCATTACTCAACAGGGGGCGCCATACTCCGTACCTGCCTGATAATTATAGAATAGATTTTGTTTTCAAAGCCAGCTACTAATGCGGACAGGAGCAGGAGGGAGGACTTATACCACGGCCGTCGCTGTACCTAGTGCAGCAGTTATGTAATCAGATTACAGCAGAATTAGGAGATTAGTAGCAACAACATCCGGTGTGCAGATTCTATTGATGGATGTTCCTTAAATCTACCTGATGTGTGTTTCTCAGGATCTGTTCCAAAACATGACTGAAGATTATCTGCTGCTGTCACAACAACAAACAAACAGAAGAGACGGCTGAAGTTTTTCATAACCACTCTCTGTAATTAGCACATGTATCCTCTCTAGTGCAGGATGATCACTCACAGTCAGCTTGAGACTTTAACACAGGAAAAAGAGGTACAGAAATTATAGTAGATATAGATAAAATATACAGTTTAGGGGTGGGAATCTGTAGGCACCTCATGATAAAATTTGATTCAGAGGGCTATGATGTGATTATAAAATGATTATTGATACTCTTGATACGTCAGGTGTTTTTATTTCTCTGTGGTTTATATAAATGTCTCCATGCCCTGGACAGATGTTGCTGGAGGCATTGCTTTTTTCGGGTTGTCTGTCCCATTCTCTTGAACATGATATCTCAAGAATGCCTTGAGGGAGTTTTATTTCATAATTTTTTCCAAATTTGGCACAAACGTCCACTTGGACTCAGGAATAAACAAATTGATGAATTTGGTGGTCAAAGGTCACAGTGACCTCACATAATTCATATGCTAATTATGATTTTAAAAAAACTTAATTGATGTCTAATAGGATAAAATGATGAAGTGATGACATTTTATATCCAAAAGGTCAAAGGTCAGCTTCACTGTGACATCAAGATGTTCTGCAAAAACACTTTTCTGGCCACATATACAACATCATAAACTCAGAGACAGTTTTGGTCAGATAGTAAATTGGTGACACTAATATTGTGTGTCTACCTTGAAACTGTGCTGATTGTATAGATCTGTGCTGCTGGGTTAAAGCATCCACATTTTAGATTCTGTAGCTTCTTTGCAGCAGCATCATATTTGAGGCATTGTCTGCTGTTATGGCTGCATTATGAATCTGGACAGACATGGATGTAAACTGCAACTGCAACTTGACTGGTTCACTGGTTCGCGGAGACATACAACAGCGAGGTGGTAATTCTAGTTCCTCACTGTGTGACTGCTATGCTACTTTTAAAACATATCGTATTTGAATAACCAGATGAATTTAGATATATACAGTGTGGCTCTTGTTCAGGTCACTTTTTTTTCAACTTCATAGAAGTCGCTTTAAAGCCAGGGGGGTGCCCCTCACATTGTATCCATTTGCAGTTACTCACATTCAGCCATCCTCACCAACAATCAGAATGTAAACACATGCATGTTTGCTTCTGTTAAGTTTCACCATCCAATTGGTTCAGCAGTGACAAACACACAGCCTAGTCTTACAAAATCGTTACAGGCGATCATAATGCTTAAAAATCAGCTTAATATTTCCAATAATTGATCTTTTCACACTGAGATGCTTTGCAATGTATCTTTGAATTGATTTTTTCCTCTACCCCTAATTGAATACATACCCATATATTTGTATTGTTTTAGGTCAAAGGTCAGACTCAAGCATGAATTATTTAATGTGACGTTTAAGGCCTTTCAGACTTTCAACAGCTCTTTCGGTGATTATTTACCTTTTTAAACACCACTGCACTCACAGAGGACAGGTGTGAGGGAAATTAAACTGTAACAAAGGGCTGACAGTGTACAAGAACAGGAAGTCACATTTTTCTTTTACACTTTAAACAATGTCATTTTCTCAGGTATTACTTACAAATATTAATGATGGTCCTCATCCCACAGCTACAGGTTTTTGTATGTCATTGCGGTAATGCACTCCATTAACACTTGAGCTACACCTTGGCTCTGCAGTTGTTTCTTATACTGGACACCTTGTCTGTTTTGCATTGTGAATTAATTGTTGTTTTCTTGTTCAGGTGCCTGTGTCTAAGTTCCAGGAGCTCCGATACAACGTGGCTCTGATTCTCAAAGAGATGAACGATCTGGAGAAGAGGAATATTCTCAAAATCCAAGATTGATATACCACACAGGCCTGTTATTTAATGAAACTGTAAACCACTCTGCTTAGTTTTTGAGATTCAGAGAGAGAGAGTTTTATAAGTTGCATCAAACGCTGCATGTTTTAATAATGTCTAATATGATATTATGAAAGATAAGAATAATCTGCCTGTCACGATGTCATGATGTGATGGTGTTGGCATCCAACATTCTTGACTGTTGACAAAATGATAAGAATAGTCAGCCTGCTGGCTTCAGTGCCTAGTGACCTATTGAAGACAAAAAGACACGGACTCACAGCCTAAATTAAAAACTGTATCACTCTTCTCTTACGTTGTTGTAAAGTGTACATATTAGCATTATTAAATCAGTGGTTATAGAGAGATATGAGACAGCTGCAAAGCCTCCAGAGTGCCAAAATATAAATGCAGTCAAGTGAGCACTCAGACACTCTTTCACTTCTCTGACTGCTGTCTTGTGATCTGATCTGTTAGAGAGTGAACATTTTGTTCACATGCTTCTGAAACACAAGGACGTGCGAGTCAAAGGATGAACCAGGAGATTTTTTCTCTATGTTTGTACACATGTAATTCAGCAGTGACAAAACGGAAGATTCACGTCTTTTGGACTGTAGCATGATTGTATAAAAAGAACAATGATTCTTCTGTTATTTTGTATGTTTTTTTTTCATAATGATATTAATAACTTTTACCTCTAAAACCACATTTCTCTAATAAAATCTGTCCATTCCTGAACATGCAAAGAGCAGATGATTTGTTCAGAGAGGTTACAATTCATATGGTGCTTTCTTTTAATGGCTTGACACTTTTCACCCCTACAACACCACCACAAACACACTATGGAAATGAGTCAACAAAGTGGCAGCCTCAACAGACGTGACAGATAAGCGACAAATCATATCATGAGGCTGTGTCAAAAGCTGTTAATCAACAAAACCATCAATCATACAGTGATTCAAGCTTTATTCAATTTATTATTATTATTTGTTTATTATGTGATGCCCCCAGAAATTTTTCATAGGGGTGTACAGATGGGGCCACTGACATTGTGGGGTGGCACACCAAAACCAAAAGCTATTACTGAATTTCAGGAATCTGGTTGAAAACTATGTCAGTGTGAGAATTAAGGAATTGCATGCTGATAGACTTTGGTTTCTTATTTTACAGTTAATGATACTAATCATCTGATATGCATTGACTAATACTGGCTCAGTGACGATTGTGAGTTCCACAACAATCCTGTTATATATGTTAAGCATCTGCATGTGTTTGGCGATTCTTTGTTTTTCAGATATGCTGGTTGTCCTTTTCCTTTTAGAAGACAAATATACACTCACCAGCCGCTTTATTAGGTACACCTATTCAACTGCTCCTTAACGCAAATAGATTATTAGCCAGTCACATCGTGGCAACTCAGTGTATTTATGAATGAATGAATGAATGTGCTTATTTCAGTACATTTCAATAATCAATGTAACTGAAAAGGTGTAGGTAGAAGCTATAAACACCTACCCCTTTTACCTTACAAAATTATACCCGACATAACAATACAAATACAAAAGAGCAACGTTCAAGAATTTGAAATGAATCATATCAATATATTCCCCAACTCTTTTGATAGTTTTTGATGTGTTTTTTCTTGAGACACAGACGAGGTGAACAAGAAAGATATAAAAAATAAACAAAAGTCATATATATGTCTTCAGGGTTCCTACACATTTGGAATTTCAAAATTCCATACTTTTCCATACCCTAATTTCCAGACTTCTTGGCATTTTTTTTTTGTTTGTTTTTTTAAGAGAATATGCGACATCTGAGTAAATATATCAGTGTATCATATTTCACATCATATTTAATTATTCTTAATAGGCGATTGTAGCCAAGTACCATAATGGCATGCAAATAAAAACTCTGGTAAGTTCAATGTCTGGGCTGAGGCACAAAGGTTGGGACTCTCGGTGCAAGCGATGCAGTAACGAGACGTCTGTGTTTTTTCCTTTCATGTGGCTCAGAATCACCTTGTCCCCCATGTTGGCGATGCAGGGTTCAACGCTAAGGTTTTTTTCACTTGCCCGGTCAGGCAAGTTGGTCAGAGATCTACTTGCCCGAAGTCAGTTTTTACTTGCCCTATAAAAATTGTTTAAGCGGCTATCAAATAACAAAGACGGCAGTTATTTTCATGTTATGTAATCTTTATTCACACTGTATTAATTAATTAAAACAACATACGTCATGTATTGTAGCTTAATTCCTACACAAATATGAGTGTCAGGGCTTAAAGTGAAAAATTTTCCTGAGCCTGAAACCTGGGGGGGTGGGGGGGGCAGTGGCAATCTTTGTCAATCGTTATCCGTCTATAATTTTGCGCCCTACTTGAGCCATGCCCACCTCTATTTATGTTTCACCCCTCTCTCCAGTTCCACTGTATTAACACTGGGTTTAATATACTTTGCTTCCATCTCTCTGCCCTGCTCTACTCTACTTCAACGCTACTTAGCTCTCTCCCTACTCTACCAGTAGACTACCACATCCACCTGTTGCACAAAACGCACACAGCAGTGTTTCCCCTAGGATGGAGTTGTAGCAGCGGAGGTGAAGCACACGCATGAAAAATAATGGAAAGTATGGAAGTATGGAAAAGAAATATTCGATACCAGAAAAAAGTGTATATAAAAACAAATATAGACAATTAAAGAAAAAAATAAATAAAAAAAGATAATAATAATAATAGTAATAAAATGAAAAAAAAAAATAAATAAATAAATAAAAAAGGAGGGAAAAAAAATAATATCATATCAATATATTATGTATTTAGGCATGTAGACATGGTCAAGACGACTTGATGAAGTTCAAACCAAGCATCAGAATGGGGAAGAAAGGTGACTTTGAACATGGTATGGTTGTTGGTGCCAGAAAGGCTGGTCTGAGGATTTCAGAAACTGCTGATCTACTGGGATTTTTTCTGGTATGCCTTGTTGATGCCAGAGGTCAGAGGAGAATGGACAGACTGGTTCAAGATGACAGAAGGGAAACAATAACTCAAACAACCACTCGTTACAACCAAGGTCTCTAGAAGACCATCTCTGTATGAACAACACGTTGAACCTTGAAGCAGATGGGCTACAGCAGCACAAGACCACACCAGGTGCCACTCCTGTCAACTAACAACAAGAAACTGAGGCTACAGTTCACACAGGCTCACCAAAATTGGACAATAGAGGATTGGAAAAATGTTGCCTGGTCTGATGAGTCTTGATTTCTGCTGTGACATTCAGATGGCAGGGTCAGAATTTGGTGTAAACAACATGAAAGCATGGATCCATCCTGCCTTGTATCAACGGTTCAGGCTGCTGGTGGTGGTGTAATGGTGTGGGTAATATTTTCTTGCCACACTTTGGGCCCCTTAGCACCAACTGATTATCATTCAAATGCCACAGCCTACCTGAGTATTGTTGCTGACCGTGTCCATCCCTTTATAACCACAGTGTACCCATCTTCTGATGGCTACTTCCAGCAGGATAACGCACCCTCTCAAACTGGTTTCTTGAACATGACAACGAGTTCACTGTACTCCAATGGCCTCCACAGTCACCAGATCTCAGTCCAATAGAGCACCTTTGGGATGTGGTGGAACGGGAGATTCTCATCATGGATGTGCAGCCAACAAATCTGCAGCAACTGTGTGATGCTGTCATGTCAACATGGACCAAGATCTCTGAGGAATGTTTCCAGCACCCTGTTGAATCTATGCCACCAAGAATTAGGGCAGCTCTGAAGGCAAAAGGGGTCCAACCTGGTACTAGCAAGGTGTACCTAATAAAGTGGCTGGTGAGTGTACAGCTTTAATTGATTGGAAGGAACAAAAAATTACAGAAAATGAGTCTTCTCAAGTTTAGGGGAGACTTGTGGATACCCATAAAACCTATTTTCATTAAAATATCTTGAGGTGAGATTTCAAGGGACCCCTTTGAAAGGTGTCATGCCAGTTATTCCCTCACCAAAATTTAGCCTAAATTTGGAGCATGACTTATTCTCCTTGCCAACAAGCTATGCCGACATGATTGCTAACAATTAATGCCCCAGGTTGTCTAGTTTCAAAAGATACCAAGATATCTGCTCTAGCTTGAAAAATGAGCACACCACAGCCTCTTAAAGACAGTAATGTTGGTCCATATAATTCAATTAAAATTTAGCTTAAATCAATTGAATTATATGCAATTTAAAATGTGTTATATGTAAAATACCTAGAAAAAGCATTATCTTTCACTAAACATTAAAACACACACAAAATGCTAATTAAAAAGTGAAGAAAAAATACAAAAATTATGTTTGTAAAGGATTTAGATGTGAAAGCTACAGATACTTTAATTTTTAATGCTAACATTATTCATCACTGTAATAAGGCAGTGACTATCAGCCTCCATCCCTCCATAATGCCCATCTAATATGATTTCAGTACAGATAAAAAAGGCAGTATTTTACACACAACATCTCTTCTTTGTGTGATAAGTAACAGACCTGATCCTGCCTCGCTCACAAACAGAAACCAACACAAATCAGATTTTACTTGTTTTGACAACCATAAGAAAAAACTCATCTGTTCCATGTAGTGGCAAAAATGTAATTTGCATGGTGATACACATCTTACACACATACAGTGGCTCAAACTCACAACTCAAACTCAAATCTGATTTAAGACCCCTGTCACATGTAACCTTGATTCTTTCATGCCTCTCATTCCTGTTTGTTTCTGCATTCCTCCCCAAAGGAGTGCCCTGAAATACAATTTTTCTTTCTCTGTGAATTAAGATACCTCTGGTGTTTGAGACAAGCACAAGTACATGCCTGTTATCCATCACATGAATATCCATCCTTCTTTCTTGTATAATAGTCTGTGAGGAGACTTTGAGGACAACTGCTGGTCCTGGCCTAGTCTGCAAGGTCCAGACAGTCTGTGCTAGAGGACCCAGCTAGACGTTGGCCTATTTAGATACACACATAACAAGGTTTCAAGGTGTGAAGGGACAGAAAGGTCTCTGATTGTTATGCATGTATGTCTGACTGGTGTGTGTGTTTGCATGCTTGTATAAGACTCCTCAAATGTCCTCATTTGCATATATGTCAGTCTGTCTGTTTCTGCATGCGTGTCAGTCTGTGTCTGGCTACAGCGGAGTGTCTAGTTAGGGTTTGTGTCTGTGTGTGGGATTGAGTTCACAGGCTAGACCGGCCGACCTATATTACCAGCACCGCTACTACTGACATGGACACTGATCGACTGCCCAGCCTATAATCTCTGCTCACACACACACACACACACACACACACACACACACACACACACGGAGCTAACAGGTTTTATTTTAAGGCTGCAGGATATACTACTTCAGGTAATGCTTATAATACCATGTAGTCTAGAATCCAAACAATTTGGAGGACAATCCCTTATCCAGAGTCATTAAACTCTGACCTACTTCCAGCATTTTTTAAGAGTCATGTACCTGGCTATAGAGCAGCCACTGTGCCCAAAAGTAGCAATTACAGGTATGACGCACCCAGAATTTTGTATAGGGGTGGCCAGATGAGACCACTTAAAGTCTGGATGTGGCCCACCAAAACGAAAACCCGTAACCATAACTCAGTTGCAGGATTCGATTATGTTATTCAAGTATATAGTCCAGTTGAAAACTATATCAATTTCTTCACCCACATTTAGCCTAACTGAAGTATTATTTATCCCCCCTCCCAATAGGCTATGCCAATATGGCACCAAATAATGCCTTAGGTTGTTTTACAAGATACCTTGATGCTAGCTTAAAAAAAGAAGGAGACAGCCTCTTTAAGACAGTAGTGTCAGCCTCCAAGTATTTTTGCCAGGGTGGGCCAGTGTGGGGGCCAGCAGTTGTATCAGGGTGGCCATTGTCCCCCATGGCCTCACCTTGGGGACGCCACTGATTCAAATGCTCAATGCAAATGCTGCAACAGTACAACAAGTAATGTCAGTTATATAGTAATATCTGTTTAAAGGCTGTAGCGGCAAAACGCCTGAGGTTGTGGTTTGCTGCTTATGAATTTAACTTTTCATTTGCAAGATGAGGAATGTTTCATTCATCCTTTAATAGCTACAAATGCATGTCTCTGGGAAGGACAGAGCATACGACTGTATAAATAAGTCTGGGATTGTACTGTACGAGGTGTGATAGAGTGTGTAAGAGGATGTTTTGCTCTAGTTTTGCTGTTGTTAGACCTGGCCCCCATTTACTCCAGTTATCAAAAAATGTCTTTGTCTTTGTGTCTTTGTTCACTGTGGAGGCATGTGATAAAAACAAAGTCTTCTTCACAAATTCAGCGTAACACAGGGTGAGTAACAGATATACAAATGATTATTTTTTGGGTGAAGTGGTCCTTTAAATAATGCTACAAGCACATATAGTATATTATAATACAGCCAGTGATAGTTTTTAAAATATCCATCGCTAGAAATTTTGGTTTTACTATTATTAGTGCTAGTATTGTATGTGACACCTAGGTTTATATGATACAGTCTTACTTAAACCAAAGTCTCAATGTGTCACATTTTTTGTCGTAACACTTTTATGCAACAGTGACTGGGTAAACTTCAAAGTTCTACTGGGTGACTGTTGCCTGTCAAAGTTATCAAACACAGTTTGCTCTGTGGCAGCGTAACAGTTTGATAAGTTGATATTTGGCCAAGCTTTGTGCCGTATGTTGTCTGACGCTCAGGAAAGTGATCTGAGGGGCAGTGACAAGGAATGACGTGCTCCCCTGTTAGTATATGTAGAAGAATAACATTTTAGACATAAAGTTATGTGAATGTTATCATGAATGTATGATTTGTACATGGTCATGGTTGGATATTTTTCAGAGGCCTCAGAGTTCACTGCCATTACTCCACTATGTGTTAACATAGCAAATAGTGGTTTGCAGCTATATTACTGCTCTGAATGTTGGATACAGAACCAAGACCTTGTAGATGATATTCTGGCCACACACAGGGCAACACAGAATTGTGATAAAGTGTATAAGGCTGTGTGAAAGTAATATTACTTTATGTATTTGGTATATCTATCTCTGTCCATGCACATGTGCTGTGCCAAAAGCTTCTGTCATCAGATATGGGTTGTAATAAACTTACATATTCAAGTAAGGACAACTGAGGCTCCTTGAAGTTTTCCACATCAGTATAAATGATCCGTCTTCAGATGTACAGTTTGTGTAAGAGCTGGTCAGGTTTACATGCCTGTCTGAAATGTCTCACAGGTGGAAGCAGCAGACTGGTGGGTATCAAGGTGAAGTGAGTGAGTGAGTGAGTGCTTCAAATGTTTATTCACTGCACAGTATTGACAGCACGGTATATCCCAGTGTTGTAGTCAAGACCAGCTTAACCAAGACCAGGTCATGATCAAGACCAGAGTGTATCGAGACCGGGACAAGACCAAGACTTCGAGGGGTTGAGACCAAGTCAAGATCAAGATCAGACAAGCACGAGTCCCACACTGCATGACACACTTATGATCAAATGTGGAAAGCACAAACAACAGGCACTCCTGAAACTGACCTGAAAGAGCCTCTAAACACACCCACAGAAAACAAATAAAGATCCCTCTTCATTCAGCCATTTTATTTCCAAACTGCATTTATGTGTGTAGGCTATGGGTAAGTGTACCATGAGAAACGTTTTAATAGAATAATCAAAAGCCATTGCAGAGGTGAATATTCTATGTGGTTATTTTTCTGTTTTCTATGAGCAAACAAATGATAACACTGCAGATATGAAATAAACTTAACAGCAGTTTGGTGATATCTCCACAGTTAAAATCCCAAGTCCTCTTTGTCTGAGACTGAGACAAGAGCAAGTAAAATGTGACCAAGTCCAAGATGAAAGTCTGACATTCAAAATGTCAGTTTGACAGTGAATGGTATTATTGCATCCAAAGATTTGTCAAAGTGCCCATGAGCAGAAGCCTTCACATTCCCACATTTCTTCAAGGGTATTGCACAGGGCAACCCATGTAAACTGTCCTCAATGCTTACATTGTGCTCAAACTGATGCCTGTGTAACATAACGTTTAGTATATAGCATTTCCAAAGATATGTAAATGGAACTTCTACTTGATCTATAAAAGAAGTAATGATTATAATCAGTTTTTCTAATTGTAAAAAAAACAAAGAAAACAACTTACATAAAGCAGTTTTGACAGTCACATAACTGCTTTACCTTTTACATGACAGGTGAGGAGCCGTACTAGGTCACATAACAGGTCACGCTAGCAACTTATTGTAGGTCACATATTTCCCCTATTTGTTGTATAATATGAACAGAAATGGGGAGTGAATGCCTCTAAGAGCCCACACCCATGGGTTATTTACTGTGTCCCAGATGTGTTTTATAACTCTTTAATTTCTGACCACCAAACAGACCTGACATCACACCCCAAGAAACTTCATTTGAGTATTTTTCTCTCTCTCTCTCTCTCTCTTTTTTTTTGGTGCATAGGGCTATGACCTGATTCTGGTACATAAATAAAACTACTATAGGTCTGTCCCCTCTGACCAGCAAAGACAGCAAACTCACTGAAAAAATATTATTGAACATGAATTATTATCATTTGGAATAACTTATTGAAATATGATTCTAATAAAGTTCCTAATGTGTTGGGGAGTCCTCCAGCTCCACCGCCAGTGACCTCTGATGGTCCCCCAGCTGGGCTCCCACACTGACCCGCCACTGTTTACTTAAGTGCCGCATGCAGGTCAGACTGGCTCCGGCCCCCCGACACTGTTACATGGCAGATTGTTTTGTAACAGTTTTTCTCAAGTCGTCCAATGAGAACAGCTGGCCAGCATCACATGACACAACTTTTACATAACAGTTTTTTTCTAATGCGCTGGTCCATTGAGAATAATATGGGTACTTCCTGACATGAACGTGCATCAGTGTGGTCAGTACTTCCCAGCAACGGATGCAAACATGAATGGCAGCTGGGGTATCGACCTGATATGCACCACATAGGTGAGGAGACACACTTTGAGCATACAGCTAGGCATGGGGACGGAGAGTGAGAGTATGCTGCAGCTTGCAGCGGAGGCTTTCCAGTCGAAAAACTTCGACCTAGCTGCGGATATCTACGAGTGCCAACTAGCGGGTTTCGGAGATCCAGGCAGCCGGCAGGAGCTGATGGTGAAGCGGGCTGACGCTCTCGCCTTCGGGGGCAAATTCGCAGAAGCTTTCAGTGTCTACAGACAAGCGTCGGAGAAAGAGCGACTGAGACCTGTTCACCTGGCCAACCTCATAGAGTACCTGGCGAGTAGTATCAGGAGGCAAGACCTGGGTGACAGTCAAACCAGGTGCGCGGGGAGAGGAGAGGAGGGAGAGGCTGCGGTGGCGGCTCGATGCCTGGGAGTTGGTGCGACAGGTTTCGGATACGAGGACTTCTCCTGCCGGATATGTCTGAGCTTTCTCTTTGAGCCTGTGACCCTGCCGTGCGGACACTGCTTCTGCAAGAAGTGTCTGGAGAGGGAGGTGAAGCAGATGATGTGTAAGGAGTGCAGGGACAGCTCCAGGGTAGCAGACGTCCAGAGTTACAGGGTCAATGTGGTCCTCAGCAACCTGCTGGCCAAGTGGTTCCCCACCTGGAGCCAGGCAGGCCGGCTGAGGCGGGAGGGCAACGGACTGTACGCCGAGAAGAAGATGGAAGCAGCGCTGGAGAAATACAACCAAGCCATACTGATAGGTGGGACACTTTACTGTTATATGTTAGAGCAACTTCACTGTTATATGTAAGAGCAACTTAACAATTGACATACAGTGAGCATGTCTCTACTGCGTATGTGACTGGGCTAAATATTTGTGCTTCTTAAACTCCATGTTTGCTGTTGTTATTCTTCAGTATAATAAGGTTTATGCTACATACTAACATGTCAGGTGACTTATCATGAAGCCGTACATAAATAATATATCGCATTTATTACATATGCCTTCGTTTCATAAGTGTGTTATATACTGTTAGACACACTTCCCAGCAGTTAGCTGCCTCTACTGGCATCTGAGAGTCACAGGGCCATGTGTTGGATAACACGGTTATGTAGGCTGGGCTAGTGGACCAAACATTGCGTAAGCACGTAACCCGCCCCCCTCAGCTCCCTCATTGTATAACGTCAAACAATGATTCAGGCAAATGTGGGTCAAGGGTACTATTGCAGGTCACCACTAGGGACGCTTCTGCTCATAGCATGAAACCAGAGGTTTATAATAGGCAGAGGAGGTGTGGTGATCAGACAGGTGAACTGTGACCTGCAGACAGGGATTATCTGTAGTAAAATAACTGATAGTATGGACAGATTTACAGTTAGGATCTGTGCTCTGGAATAAGGGCTACTTCATAGGGATTCATATATGAATCATGTAAGAGATGAGATGTACTATGCAAAGTTGGTAAAGTGATGTAAATTTAGTTTTAGTTAAGTTTTAGTTTAGTTAATTTAGTTTGGTTAAATTAGACTGTGTAACAGATTCTGAGGCACTTTGTCAACTGCTGAAATGGAGAATCTCCTCTAACACGGAGGTCTTATATGACTGGGATACGTGACCTAACCTCATTTGACTTCACTGTGTTGTTCTGCAGCAGCACTGGTTGTGTAAGTTTAAAGTTACTGGTTTCGCTGACATTTGAATCCTCTGATAAGTATACCAGAGTTTCCCCTGGCTGATTTGTCGACAGCTGACAGAGGAGATAGACATCTCTATGCACTGGGTCCCCACCAGCAGAGCATTTATCTCCCAGCCGATGCAGTGGAACTGCGCAGGCAGCTGACTGTTGCTGAGCTGGGTGGGTCCCACAGTAATAGCATGGGGTTGTCCCGGGCTGTTTCCAGGGTCCTATAGCATGCTCCAGGATGTTACTCAATGTGATTCATTCAGAATGTTTAGCGAGGGTGATGTGATAAATAATGCTTAACAAAGAATGACATAACGCTCATATTTTGGTGGGACTGGCTTCAAACCGCAATGACTTGCAGAAATGACCTGCAGGATGTTGATCTTTGATCCTGGGGGAGGGGTTAAAGGCTGCCCCATTAACTCTATCACTCTGACTCATTTTTGGTTATTAACTAAAGCATGCAATTTCTACTGGAACACTTGCTTAACTAAAGCATTTGTGCAAATCAGTTTGTGAGCTGAATCTCAGGAAGGCAAGGAAAGTGGAAGCTGCTGTACCTACAGAAACTGTTATGTGCTTTACCCTGTTTATCAATATATTTTCTGGAAATATTTTTAATGCCCTTAAATAAGGTCGAATCACCTGCATGGTGTTTGTACTGGGCAGTTTGTGTGTGTTTGTGTGCTGTACATTCATCCCACTGTGGGGGAAAAATATCTGCTTGCACCCTCAAATTGTGGGGATTCACTTACCAACTGGGTTAACCTCTTGTTGTGGGGTTAAGACATAGTTTTAGAGTTAAATTTAGAGTTGGATCAGGATTAATCCAAGGCTGAAGGTTGTGTTTGGTAGTTATGGTTAAGGTTCAGGTAAGCCTGCGGGGAATGAATGCAAGTCAGTACAGTGATCACAGTGTTATAATTAGCTCAAGTGTGTGTGTGTGTGTGTACAGATGCATGTGTGTGTGCAACGAAGCAGTAATTACTCTTGAAAATGAGTATCATTCAGAAATTGTGCTAAGCATGCATTATATCCATCTTTTATTGCAAGTATTGTGCATGATATACCTGATACTGCACTTGCATTAACATCTACAACCTGTGGGTCACCTAAAATCTTTTAAATTGTCTTGTGAAAGAATCCCTTCTGCTCTCCTGCACTTCTATTTCTGTTTTTGTTTCATGGAGTGATTTACTACCTGTGCCTGTACTAAAGCCAGAGATATATTTCCCCTCTGATTCCCATAGGGCTAACTGCGACATTTGCATAAGTTTTCATCGTTATGAAACCTGGAATGTGGGTGACCTTGATAGTGCTGCACTGGTTTTGTAAGGCAGCACGCTTTTTTTTTTTTTTTTTTTTTTTCCAGAACGTGTTTTATAATGTGGAAACTGATCCATTTTGAACAGTCCTTCTGTCATGTAACTTGAAACCTTATATCACCAGTAAATTCAGCTTTTCAAGACATAAGAAAATAAACAGGTGGTGGCCTTGCTTTTTTTTTTTTTTTAATTCTGCAGTGTATTGTGAAACAGTTGCCACAGTATAGGGGTCATTAAACCAAAAATGCACCGATTTCAGCTGCCCAAATGTGACAATCTGCTACTTTTCTCTGGTTAACATCATTGTAAAGGGAATATCTTTGGCCTTTAGACTGTTGCCCTATTGTCTTGTAACACTACCAATCTAACTATGGTTGTAAGTAACAACTACCTGACCGACTGATTTATTTAACTGTCCCTCCTCTCCTCTTCAGCACCCATGGACCACATACTGTTCAGTAATCGCTCCCAGATCCACTCCAGTTTGAGACGCTATGAAAAGGCTCTGAGAGATGCTGAGATGGCCTGCAGACTTATGCCTCACTGGTCCAAGGTATAGCAGACAACATTTTCTGCATTATAGAAATATATGCAATAATAAGTTTATGTTCATAAAATGTAAAAAGCTAAGTGGTATGTCTTCTTCCTGCCTACAGGGTCATGTTCGTAAGGCCCAGGCCCTGGTATCACTGGGCAGGACAGAGGAAGCTCTTAGGGAGTACCTGGTCTGTCTGTCTCTGGAGCCTGACTGTAGACTGGCCAAGGCTGAGGCCCACAAGGTAAATACAACATCAAAGTTTAATTTTACAATATGCTTATCCCAGCTGTCACCCCTCAAAAGACCCTATTGTCATATATCTCACGTTTACATTTCTTATTATTTGCTATTAACATCATGAAGTTTTACTATATAGTTAACAGCTTAAAACTATTGGCGAATAAAAGCAAAGCAACTTTTCCCAGGTGTTTTCTCATGCCACAGTGTGTGAGCACAAACACCAGGATGCAGTTCACTTCACAGCCTTAGAGAGTGGTGTCACTAATAATAAGGATTCGCTCAAAGTTTCATACAGAACCTTTAATACATAGAAGAGGTCTCACAGTCTACAACTGCATTAAGCAATTTGTCATTTCTTGGTTTTGTCCAGTTGTGTCTGGCTTATTTCAAAGAAAACATGACACACTGCATTAGCATTGGGGGATTGTTATACTATCATGAATGCATATACAATAATCACATTATTGTATGTTGTCTTCTTTCAGCTTCTCAGTGATCTCCTGGCTCCAGTTACAGATCAGGTTCCTGAGCACATCTCAGACTGCTCCAACACACTGTCTTCCAGAGCACACATCAAGAGCAGCATTAACACTCCCTCCCAGGTAAGAGATGCTCCACATCTGGCAGTCAGCAGTTAGAAAATAAGCATGACATTAAGGTTTCATTTTCTTTCAGATCTTTAGCACCAACTTGTTGTCATCAGCGTCCAGTCTTGCGCCCGCTCCTCCTGCTCCAGAGGGCAGTCAGGTCAAAGGTCAGGGAAAGCCTGAGGTCAGGAGACTGGATCACCGTTTTCTCCTCAAAAGGAAACGGTGGAGCATGGAGGAGGAGGTGGAGGAGGGAGGACAGGAGAGTAGCAGCGATCACAAGAAAGCCAAATCTGGTGAGCTTTCAGAGTTTGTTCACACACATGCACCTAGCCGAGTAACACATACACACCCCCTCCATTAGCATTTGTGTTTTACTATTTTGATTTGATAATCTCTCCATTCAGATCCAGCAGAGGCGACTAATCCATCGAGCTCTGCAGTTGGTGACGTCTTGGACCCCACAGATCTGGAGTGTTCTCTTTGTATGAGGTGAGCTTTGCTTTACAGTTTGATTCAGGCTTAACCTTTATTGAAAGTCACACAGCATGCAATTAAGTTATCAGTTGTATAGTGTGTGCTAAATTTTCACTAACAGTTATGTAGCCTGTGACGAAATGTGTGACATGCAGCAGCTTTTACTACATCATTATACTGCCATACAGCCTTTAAGAAAGGAATAAAAAAGTCTTTGTCTTAGCTAATGTGGGACCAAACTGCTGATATTCACACTAACAGACAACCTCATATTTATATTTATTTCACTTTCTTTTTTGGTAGACAAAATGATTTATTGATTAATCTAAAAAATAATGGAAAGATTAAAGGGGGGCCTCGATATTTTAAACCTGGACTCTATGTTCCAATTTTTTGTGTCTAAGTGACTAAAGGAGACAACAGTTTTGAATATTGGTCCAGTATTAAGTGAGGCAGCTGTGAAACATGCAACATACAGTAATGTTAATGGGCAATTGTGCACTGTCAATTTACGCCCACTAAAAGTGCTTATTTTTGCCACTGACAGGCTCAGATTTTTCGTAGCATTGTCTGATAACATTATGGAAAGGATCCCTACAGAGATACTCCTCTGTGTTAAAGAGTAATATCTTTTTTATTTAACCTGAAACAACCCTAAAATTACTATGGCAAAAAACTCCATTTAAAGAAACAGCATTCATTAGTCATCACCTATGATCATAAAACACACTTCATCCAACCTTGACAGAGTTGACCCGACACTGTTTCAACGATCACCAACTCTGGTTTGGTTGAAGTAAACCATTAATTCACCCACTTACAGATGAAAACATGCTGGCTCTATACAGGCTATAACTATTGTTAATTTATATGGAGTCTGGTGGGTTTGGCGATGGCAATTTTGAGGCTGTTTCTGATTAAACAATAAGGATTTTAATCTTGGACAAAGAGGTCAAGGGAGGGGTCCCTTCCATGATATTGCCAAACAGGTATAACAACAATCTCAGCCTGTCAATTGTAAAAACAAGCACTTTTAGTGGGCATAATTGGACGGTGCACAAATGCCCCAAGTGGTTGCACTGCAGCCTGTTTTGCAGCTGCCGGTTGCAGCAGCCTTGCATAATGGTGGATCAGTTTCAAAAATGAATGTCTCTATTAGTCATTAAGACACAAAAACATGGGGAAATGGGGTCCAGGTTGAATAATATCCAACTTACCCTCTAATGGCTAATGAAAAAAAACTGTTATGGTTGCAGCCTCACACTCTTATGTCTTATGACTTTGAGCTGTTGTATTTTTATATATTTCCCACCCAGACTTTTCTATGAGCCAGTGACGACACCGTGCGGTCACACCTTCTGTCTTCGGTGTCTGGAGAGATGTCTGGACCACAACCCGAGGTGTCCACTCTGTAAAGAGGAGCTGTCTGAGGTATGCCCTGTGATACTCTCTCATAGGATTATAACATACACTGGTCCACAAGGTGCCATTGAGCGTAATCTAAACCGAAACCAGTAATTATTTCCCTGATCCAACTTTTTCTCCTCCGACACCACACTTAAGAATATTTGCCAATACAGTGTACCGAGCAGATACCAGCGCTCTCTTTTTCCCATATTTAAAATCTGTATATCTAACTGTGTAAGTCACTGGGGTCATTTTTATGTAAGGAAACATGATGCCAGGGATTGCTGTTGATCTAAATGTGGAGTTGGTGGCCTGCCATGACTGAATGAACGTAACTGATAGTGGAAATGCTGAATTTTGAAATGACATTGACCCACAAACTCTTGTTTAATTTCGATCTGTTACATCACAAATGATACCCGATGTCTCAGTAAGGTCACAATCAGGGTGTCACACACAGAACAAGGTGATCTTTGGGGGCGAAATATAGAGCAAGCCTCAACATGGATGGCATTGAAAACTCACTCTATGTTTCTTTAATTATAAACACATTTCTAACATAGGACATGTCTGTATCTCTCTCTAGTACCTGGTCCAGAGGCAGTACTGTAAGACAGTGGCAATGGAGAAGCTGATATCGAAGTATCTTCCCTCTGAGCTCATGGAAAGACAGAAAATCCACCAGGATGAGATGGCTGAGCTCTCCAAGTATGTTTGTGCCGTCCTCTGCTCCTCTCCTCTGTCTTACAATCAGGTTTCACTTGTTCGTTATGCTCTATTTGTTCTCTTCTCTCTGCTCTTGTCAAATCCTTTCCTCTCACCGATTATAGTTTATGTTTAAGAATGTGTGACTGACATAACACATTATGTGAATGTCCTGTTGTTTGACCCACTGACCTAGAGTAGATAACACACGTGTTTGACACACTGACTTCTTAGCGTGCGTCACCTCAGGCATCAAGTATCACTCTCCTTGAGCCGAGAGCAAACTCCAGTAAATAACTTCTCTTAAACTGGTGCAAAACTTATTCACTGTCACAGAAGCCAGTGTTGTTTTTTTCTGGGGTTTTTTGGTCTTTGGTCTAAAGGTTAGTCGTGAGTAATGGTGCAGATCAAATTTGCACAGTAGTGAGGTAATTATAGATGTTAAAATTTCTGTTTTATGAACATTTTAAGGACCTTTCACTCATTTTGGCGTCCGAAATTGAGATTGACAAATGAATTCTTGACCATGAAAACAGAATATAAATATTACACTTCCTTGTATCATGACGCTGCTGTGCACCACATTAAACACATGCTCCTTTATTCCTTTCTTTCCTCAGTCTTAACAAGAATGTGCCTATATTTGTGTGCACCATGGCCTTCCCCACTGTGCCGTGCCCTCTCCATATCTTCGAGCCGTGCTACAGACTGATGATTCGCCGATGCATGGAGACGGGAACCAACTGCTTTGGCATGTGTCTGGCAGATAACCTTAAGGGGTCAGTACTTGGATAGTACCTGTGTCTGCTTGGTCATGTGTTAAATACAGGAGTGTAAGAGTATGGATGCAAGAAGTGTAACATCGCGGCCCCTCCTTTTTGTGTTTCTAGGTTTGCAGACTATGGGTGCCTGTTGGAGATCCGTGATGTGAAGTTCTTTTCAGATGGCCGTTCAGTTGTGGACACCATCGGCAGACGGAGGTTTAAAGTCATTCAGCACAGCGAGAGGGATGGATACAACACAGCTGATATAGAGTACCTGGAGGATGTTAAGGTATGAGGGAGTGGACAGATGAGGAGTAGCTAGAGGGTTGATGGGATGGAGAAGTGATGGCTTTATAGAGAAATTACCAGCATTTATTATATTCAAACATGTATGTGTGTGTATGTGTGTAGGTGGAGGGTCTGGAAGAGCGTGAGCTGCAGTCTCTGCATGACATAGTGTACGACCAGGCTCTGGTATGGGTCAACTCCTTAAAGACAGAACAGAAGGAACGCATTGAAGGACACTTTGGACCGATGCCTCAGAAAGACTCTGCACTTCAGGTACACAGACACAATTTACCAAGTGACGGGATGTAATCAAGTTGTGAATTGGAGTTACGGTGCTGTTGGCTAAAACCGATGAGCAAGATGATTGGTGGGATGTAGAGGGAAGTATGCTGTCCGACTAACCATAGACCGTTCTGGGAACTCCCTTAAAAGAGCTCCCCAAGAACTACATAGGCCTATTTAAGGGCTTTTTTTTCTGTTTGCATTTGCACTGCCGGTAGGAACACTGAAGTGATGCACTGTAAGATGGCCAGTGGTTGGTATAGCAATGTCACTTTCCCTTTGAATAGTCAAAATTGCGTTGTATTTCCACTGCCTGGACTTCTGGACATAGGGAAGTGGGGGGAGGAGTGGAAATAGGCTTGGTGGATCGACAGAGCTGGGCGTTGTCCATGAAGCAGTGAAATTGAGTGTGCCAAGTATCCTAAACATATGACCAAGACGTAGAAGGGAAATAATAAAGAGAACGGGACCCAAAACAGAGCTTTGAGGAACACCGCTAGTAACTGGAAAAGTTTGATCTGAAACTTTTAAGTTGGACAAAGTGAGTGTGGTCAGAGAGATAGGATCTAAACCAGGCAAAACAGGTGCCAATGATTCCAGTGGGAGATAATCTCTCCAAGATGTTATGTGAGATGGTATCGAAAGCTACACTCTGATCAAAAAAGATGAGTATGGTTAAAAGCCTAGACTCAGCTGCCATCATCATTTTCACAAAGGTTGTCTCTGTACTGCAAAAGGTGCAAAAACCAGACTGAAATTGTTCAAACATTGCAGGACTGATGAGATAATCAAAAACAGGTGTCTCTCAGCAAAGTTAGCGTCACACATAGTCAGATGGCCTCAGTTTTCATAATAAAAGTTGAAATTTACTGTAATTTTCTTTTTACTTTATTTAATCTTTAACACCCTCTCATTGTGTCTCCTCCTCCTTCAGGACAGTCCTAACGGTCCCTCATGGTGCTGGTGGCTGCTAGCTGTTCTTCCATTAGAAGGCCGAGCCCAGCTGCCATTTCTGGCCCTCACCTCTCTGAAAGATCGCCTCAGCGGCATCCGCAAGGTGCTGCTCCTCATGGCCCACAACAGGCACCGGTGACATCTTCTCCACCTGCCTGGAAAATGCAGTAACCACCTGCCCCCCCATACACACAGACACACATCCTCCTCCAAAGCAGCAGTTGACCTGTTGTTCTTACTTTTGATGCACAAAGAACTGACATTGATGTTGTTGCACCTTCTTTGTTGTAGCCCCACCCCATTCACAAAACAGTGATGGACTCATCTGCACATCTACAGCAAACTTTGACTAAAAAAAAGCAGCAACAAAGATGAGAGTGAGCTGAATACATAGATATCTTTGTTCATAACATTCTCTTCACACCATACAAAAAAACCAGCCGTGCAGACCTGCAGATTGAAGCTATGTTCAGACAGAAGGGACATCTGATTTCTTATGATGACTGTCATCATTACAAGTCACATGTGATTAGATTTGGTACATTACATCATCTTCTGTTATAACATTGGATGTCACTGTAACAATACTAATGCGCACATGCTAAGAAGCTACATTTCCAGGTATACAGCAACAAGCTTTTGTGCTCTTATGTCTTCAAATGTCCAGGTTCCACTGTTGCCTTTCTGGCCCTCCTCCATGTTTATAGTTCTTTGTTCTTCCTCTTGCATACATTTTTTTTGTGAAAACAAACTTTGCAGTCTGATATGAGTGATTTTTCCCAAAAACAGGCTGAGCTGCCTGTCTGAACATAGCTTTAAAACAAAGACAAAACAATTTCCCCAGATCAGACATACAAATTCATTTATGGCAAGTACCATTGATTCAACCAATCAGTGTCCACTTGCTGTATGTCTCTAAATGTACATAGAAATTCTGCAAGAGACCAAACAATTTTCCTTTTGTGTGGTTGCACTCACTACTGTTGAGTGAATAGTAGTAATAATAATAATAATACTGATTAGATATGATTAATTTGTATGCCCATTACTAAATGTAGACAGAAACAGATAAACCTATATGTTTACTATTCTGCCACCTTTATTATAACTTCAATAACAATCATTTTTTTGGCTGCTATTCTGTCTTCCTGTCCTCCTTGCTTCCTTCATTGCTGTCCCTGTCTGACACTACATCATGCTGCATGAATAACAATGGACTGAACTTTTTCATTGCTTGTTCTTGTGTTTCATTCATCCATGTTTTTTATTTTTCACTATTTATTTTGTCGTTATTTATGCATGCCGTGACATTGTTTACATTTTACAGAAAGAGATGCTGAGCTGCTCACTTTCCAAAGGCTTTTTGTTTAAACTTAACCTTTGACCCAAACGTCAGTAATAATATTCTGTAATGTTGTAGGGTATTATTACTGTTATACAACTATTTACACAATCAGCAGGGGGTAAAGAGTTGGGGCCAACATAGCTGCCACTGAAAACTAGCCAGGACAAACTCTAGAAATTGGAGTTGAGGGTAGATTCTCTTCCAGACCACATATTTTTAGAACGCCGGTGACCCAAATCAATGCAGTATTTGTATCGGCCTGTGTCAATCTGAGCTATGTTGACTTTAACATATTTGGATTCCCCCTCTGTCAGCAGCCTCTCTATAGCAGAGGTACTTGTAATAATTACAGGCTTTAAGAGAGCCTGGCAAGCAATACCTGGATTTCTGATACCATTATGTCCTAAGTATATTTATTCAGTATTTATTCAGACTTGCGTTGCACTTCCACTTTAAGTAAGGGAAAGAAACAGAGCAGACAGGCTTCAGGATATGCATTTCCACTATTGCTAGTGTCAGAATACTTAACTATTTTTATTACCACAGAATAAACTCAAATCCTCTAATGACTTAATCAGTAAACAGTCCCTAAATGAAAGCCTGTCTGCACTGTCTAGTAGTCCGACGCTACTGCTACAGATCTCCTTTCATATGGGTTTGATTGATGTATGCTAAAGGCTGGTGCCTTCTGTCCACAGAATAACATGGTGTGAAACAATTTCACATTAGGTAGTGCATACTAGGCCCATTTTAAGGTTAATCTCCCTTCTTTTGCAAATTTTAGTTCAGAAAATGATTTTCACGGAAAGAAAATTTGTATATATTGATTTGGAGAATTCCCACAAATATATTTCTGAGAAAATGGTGTTGTTAGAAAAATATTGAGGCCTTGCTGATGTCTGTGACATGACTGTTTTTACATGGCAAGAGCTAAATCTCTGGAAAATGCAAGAGATTGTTGAGCTTTGCCTTTAAAATGTTTTTATTTTATATACGCGTGTTTGATTTTACATGTTTCTATGTCAGTTGCGTTCTTTGTATTTTATTATTTTCTTCACCTTAGTCGTGTGTTTATTTTGTCTGTATTTCACCTGTACTAGTACAGGGAGTGTCACATTAAATTATCCACATTTATTATTTTCTGTTGAAGGCTAAAGCCGTGTAATGCTATAATATTGAGAAAGTGAATACCACAATCTTTTAATATTTTCCCCACAATAATTTGGTGATACTTTATTGTCAGGTGGTTGCAATATGACACAGAATGTAACAGCAGTACTATAGAAAGTACTATATAAACTATATAATCCATTGTGTAATGATCCAAGTGTTAAATTATATTAGAAGATTTCTGTCTAAAGAGGCATGTACTATTGAACAAGTGCTGAGAAAATAAGATTAACTGGTTTCAGCTATCTCTCCAAAATGTATAAAACAATAACCTTTGTAATGTTTGCTAATATTGTAGCTGGTGCCCACTGAAAAGCTATGTTGTTCAAACTGGGCAGGAAATGAAAAAGCCATTAGTCAGATATAACCACACCTCCAGTATAAAAGCATATCACAGAGATATTTCAAATTCAGAGAGGCATGTATTTCCTGATAGATGTGAAGAGGTAGAGGTAAAGGGAAAAGCCACCGAAAAGAAAGTCACATATGCTATTTTATTTTTACAATTTGTAAGCATGAGTATAAGTAAGAAAAAAATATTTAAACTCCCTTGATGAACGAGTTCATCGTTGACAGTGAAGCTTCTTGATGTCCTGACTGTACTCTGTGAATTATTATTCATCTGTGACAGCAGTTCTAGTGCCTTAAGTTGGACTTCTTCCATTTTCACTTTGATGTATAAACTGCAATAGTGACTACTGTATGCTAACGTTTTGTGCAACAACTTTGGGTTCCCTAAATAACATCTTAAGATAATGTCTTTAAGAACCTGGACTATGGCAGAGGGGTTTGTGTTGGAAAAGTGATTAGTATTATTATTGACATATAACACCAGTTAATACTAATCCATTATGTAATCTGGTTCCCAGAAATCCTACACATTAAGTTAGCCTAATTAAAGCATTCAATAAGACATTAAGACATTTTGGGAAATAAGCTTATTAGCTTTCTCGCTGAGAGTTAAATGAGGTGGTGCCTGCTGCCCTCATGTTTTTGCATTAAATTACGAAGCTATTAAATGCAAACCTCCACCATATTCCAGGTTTTTAAATCATTGTGGGTTAGAATTGACTTTTTTCCACACCGACAACCAACACACTTAGCCTTAGCTCCTGCAATCCTGGCTGACTCATGTTTTTTTTGTGCTTTTTAAATATATATATATATATGTATAAAAAAGGATACATTTTTTCCATATGCTTGGATTATCACAGAGATGATTTCAGAGGAGAAGTGTTAATCAGGAAACTACGGAAGCCAAAAATGGCCATGCTTTCATTTAAAAAAAAATGTGTCAAAAAAAAGTCTTTCTCTAAAGATCACTAGTAAATTATACCATTATCTACACCGGCAGAAACTGCATTCTGTCTCTCTGTTAAAGATAACGCTCCCTGTCATTTAAGGACAATCCTCCCTGACAGTCATGACAGTGATCTTGAAGGCTGAAGTCAGGCGTGATCAAATGAACCAAACACTCATTTTCAAGCTTGCCAATAATTATCCCCTGATCTTGATGATAAATTAGCTTGTTATCTTGAGAAACTGGCCTTTTGTTTTCCCAATAATCAACATATATTAATTAACCTGTAATCACTGGAAAACTTTTTATTTTTTTATCGTTTCGTTATCTTGTGATGATGAAAACGTATTTAACTTGTGATTTCGAGATGACAGCATCAAAAAAATAACTGCAAGCACGACCCTTCTCGGCTTCCATAGCAAACAGCACAGATTATAAGCTATGACCCAGTGAAGATGTGAACACAGTGGCATTTGTCTTGGTGTCAAGAATTGAATCCTTAAAGATTAGGATGGGTTTAAGCTGCTGCTGCAGCTTGATGGTATCATTTTTGACATTTTGTAGCACTCCAAACTCATGATAACGTTGATCATGCTGACAAACTTCCTGTAAGCTGTGAAGTGGCTTGTAATTTCAATGTCTCCAGTTTGTTCAGTAACCATAACAAAATAACAACAGTGTAGATGTAGAAGTGGCATCTTTTTGATCTTTTGTTATCCAGCTATGCAAAAACAGTAGGATGGGGGATTACTGATGCCCACTGATATCTTGACCTTTCAGAATTCAACCACTGATCTTTTGAAGGAGTGTAACTACCTCTAGCATCCTTCTAGAGCACTTCCACAAAGAGAGAAAGAAAAACTATGCTTCCTAATTTTGTTGTTTTCTTGTCAGTCTTGTTTAATCTGTGTTAAAAGTGTAATTTGAGAGTCTAAACAAATAACGTATATCATCTGTGTCTCATCACTGCTTCAAAAATGTGTTTTTTTTCTTAAGATTTGTGCCCATGTCAAAATGCACCATCTTCATCAATTCTTCACACAGAGTTTATGTCACTTTGTCAACTAAAACTGCAAAAATTCATAGGTTTGTGTGTAATGTATTGGATACTGATCCCAAATATTTGAAGTATTTTGAGGAGCACTTGATTTATCTCACCTGGCAAAGTGAAAAGCTTCTCAGAAACAAAGTGTAGGACTTCTTGTATGTTAAAGTGAGTTGAAAAAATCCTAATATAACATCCATGCTCATCTAACTTTAAAGATCTTAATGTCCTAAAAAAGCTTTTCCAAGTGCTCCTAATATTTTCAGATATTTGCGCTAACATCAGTCACTACATGGCCTGCTTCTTTCAAAGGCTGTTAACCTCCTGTCCATGGCCTCTAAATGTGTCTGGGTGAAATCGCACAAGATGAATGTATGTATGTCTCGACATCTCTCTGATGTTTTCTGTACATGTCTGTTTTTGATAGTAAAACTTTAGTATGCATTACTTTTGCAAAAGTACAGTCTTGAAGCTGCAACTTGTGAATAAACCAAAAGGTTTGTGTTCTCAGCTTGCTTGAGAACACACTGGACTGGACTTGAGTCTGATGTCTCCTTTCTTTGTGTTCTCCTGGGTTGGCTGAGTTTCTTAGAAAGTATAAGATCAGATTTCTGGTTACATCACTTTGTGTTCAATAATTCATAAGATGAATCAAACCTTTCAGTGTAGTCGGAATTCTTTCAAAGCACAATGGTCTGTTCAGTGAGTGATGTGGGAGGTAGTCAGCGTTTCCAGCAATACAACTCCAGTTTTGGAGATTTTCATGCAAGTAAAATGTAATCTTCAAAATAATAGCTTTTCTTTGGGAAAAAAACCGAACACTGTAGTTTTGGAGGGCTTTACAAAGAGAGACATAAACATAGAGAATCACTTTGTACTAGACTTTTATGCATTAGATAAAAAGATTAATACCAGACTGATACCAGCCTAGCTTAGCATACAGACTTAGCCTGGGAACCAGAGGAATCTGTGAGCTCGTGTTTTATTTGCTCTGGCAGACACGTCTTGTCTCCCTCCTCGCCAATTACAACCATTTATCTAATATGGAGCATCTTTGATATGATGGCTGACAACTGGTGGAGCCTTTTCATTTAGTATAAAATACATGATGACGCCATTTTTGGCTTGCGTACTCTCACGCTGACACTATGGTGAGCAGAGACGTAGTTTAACCCTTTGAAACCTGAGTAAATTGGCTTGATTTCTTTCAGAAACATGGGAAGAGGGCAATAAGCTATGAAAGAAGAAATGACCCCAAAAAATTGTAAGAAATTAGTAAAAAGAGAAAATCAAAAACAAGAAAATTAGTTTAAAAAAAAATTCAAATTTTAAATATGTAATAATATTAGCTATTAATATAACTTTCACCTGGCTTTTTTCCCTAGTTCAGTATTTATTTATTCATTTTTAATTTTTTCTTAATCTATATATTTGTTTGCAACTTACTCATCAAGTTGTTCATTGTCTCTTTTCCCATGTTTTTGAAAGAAAAGGTTTAAAGGTTTAAATACTTGCGAAAGGTGTCCAAAAGCAACACAAGAAAACTGATGTCGCTCCAAGTGTCAGAGGGTTAATAAAAGAAAGTGTTGGTAAGGCACTAATGAAAACAACCAAGATGGCTGCCGCTCATATGGAATTTTTTTGTTGAAGTAGGCTACTACTTTCACATTCTGATGTCAAAAACTCGTTCACAGACATTGATGCTACACCGTTACAGCTTATCTCTGCAGGCTGCAGTCTGATACACTTGTCCATTTCTGAGCGCTACGTTTCGTCACTCTGATTGGTTGTAGGTCTATATAATTCAATGTATCCTTATACAACGATATGCCATAAAAATGCACATGCAACAGTTCATATGATCTTCTACAAGTTAGTGCCCTGCAAATGACATTATTTACTTGACGTAAAGTTACGTAATTGACAGTAAGTTACGGAGGTTTAGTTTTGGCAAGTAAAGTTACTGTGGTTAGGTTTAAGAAAAGAAACTTCGTAGGGGCATACCTTAAAATGACTCAAGATTCACACGCCTCCGAACTCCGGTCTCCTGGGGTAAAGGTCTGTGTTTTGTTAACCACCCACCACCCCAACCTGTGTGGGACTGCTTCCTTTTACACCTGTCAGCGCATTGGTCATATGATCGCAGTCTTACAAAATACATGGGTTATACACAAATTACTGTTTCATTATCACCAGGAATACATTACATTCAAATTTTGTTCCATTACTTTTCGAAAGAAAATGTACAGACAGTGCAAGAGAACAGCCTGTTCAATTACATCCAGAGGCATTTTTGTTTTTGCCCGTTGATAACTGTCAACTCGTGTACTTCGTTATTTAGAATCATTGATATAATACTTATGAAACATGCAAATGCAAGGTGTTCCTGATTTACAGTGCCAACATTTTCTTCTTCGATCTAATTAGATCGATGCAGCAGCAGTTCATATGTTCACATGTGGGCAATGTGACCAGAGATTTTGCATTTCACAAGTCCTATATAGGCTAACAGTTAGGTAACAACTCACACTGTTGTCACATTCTTAAACAACATTTCATTTTAGGTCAGGTCCATAGAAGGCAGGCTGAGTGAAACCCTGTAGGTTAGGAGGCTATAGCCTAAACAAACAGTTGATACAGTAAATCTGCACTTCTGCTCACAAAACCAATTTGGGTCATGAAAACATTCCTCTGAAGTAGAGGGTCTCTGAAGGAAAGCCCAAACTACTGATGGACACAAATCCAAGCTGAGCAGTTTGAAAGAGGAGGGTGGTGGTTTGTGTGTGTGTGAATGTGGCAGGATAAATAAGGCAGAGTAAACAACCAAGAAAAGACTGTTGAAGAGAACAAAACACAGAGAGAAAACAAGTTTGTGAGAGAGAATGTGAGAAAGAAGAGAGAGAGAGAGAGAGAAAGAGAGAGAGAGAGAGAGAGAGAGAGAGATATAGAGAGAGAGAGAGAGAGAGAGAGGTATAAGCTTTTGGAATGTGGGACCAAAACCAAGGTGAGTGACAGCTTGTTTTCACACACACATCTCCAATATGTTTGAACTGCATGCTCACAAATAAGAAACACACACACTGTTAATGTGCATCCGAATGATAGAGATACACAGAGCGAGGGGGGGGACGCTGGACAGACAGGAAGACTGTTTATGCAAGCAACACAAATGTAGGTCACTCAGTCAGAGTTAGAAACTTAGAGAAAGTATTAGAGAAGTAGAGATGGAGGGAAAGAGCAGTGTCTGCTTCACTTCCTGGCATGCTCTTTATTTGTTGCTCTTCAGTGTAATTATACTGCAGATTAGCAAGTTTAGCTCGTCTCTGCAGTCCCATAAGGACTCTTAGAGATTTGAAGGCCTACTCCTGCCAATCCCGGCGCCTCTAAATATAGAGGCATAGGAGCTTTAATGAGACCAGCATATTGCATACAGTACATTTCTGTCATCAAAACCTTTTCTTTAGTGTCTAGGATCTATCCTGTTTATGCAAATCAGCACTCCTGAGACTCTTACAAGTGCACTAGATGGTCCGTCTTTGTTGTTGAATTATCACTCAGCCACAAACCAAAATACATGAAGATGTTCAGTTAAATGTTCATTATGTGTTAAACACATCTTTTAAATTCTGGAAACGTGACCTTATCTCACTAGCCACATCAGTAGCATGGCTCTGTAATGCAATGCCGATCTCTCAGTCAGTCTACCACTTTGGTCCAGACTCAAATATCTCAACTACTGTTGGATTGCCATGAAATTTTGCACAGACAGTCGTGGTTCCCAGAGGATTAACCCCAATGACTTCACTGATCAGGTAACTTTTCATCTAGCATCACCAACAAGACAACATTAGATTTGTGGTTTTGAATGAAATGTCTTCACAGGTTACAGGATGGACTACCTATGGTTCAAACATTCCCCCTCAAAATGAATTCTAACAGCTTTGTTGATGCCCTAATTTTAGCACCATTATTAGGTCTAAATTTAATTTGTCCACTACTTTGGTTTATGAAAAAAAAAACAGTGTTAACAAAGAATGTGAAGGTATGTCATACTGTACCCTGTCTGACGTGGGCGCCATCATGTGAGGTACATGCTCCATTATCTCTGTTACCAAAGTGTATGCAGTCCAAAAACAAGATAGTCTACAATATTCGGGTATGTAAGTGGAGGTAGTGCATAAGGGTCTGTAATCCAGCTCTGGGCTGCCAAGTCACATATATTGTTTATCATGATTAGTTTGTCCAAATAGCATTGCTTGACGACTGTAGCAGGCAGAGCTAACACAGTGCGTTTCTCACAAGAGGGCGACCTCGTCTAAAAAACTTGATATAGCGTGACATCAGCTTCACAGCAAATGTTAACATGCTAACTTGCGAAACTAAAATGGTGAGCATAGTTAATGCAAGGCTACCTGCAAAATATTAACATATTACCATTGTCATTGCGAGCATGTTAGCATTCTGGTGTTAGCATTTAGCTTAAAGCACTACAGCCTCACAGAGCTGCTAGCATGACTGTAAAGTCTTAGTCTTATTTAAATGGAAAACAAAGAGCACTTGTTATCCATAAGTTTGTGTGTTGCAAAAGGCTTGCACATGCTTGTCACATGATAATTGGCTTCATTTTCCAAAGGAATGTGCAGGATCTGTCTGCAACAACACATAGAACCAAATTTCATGCTTGCGATTATTTACTGCAAACGATTTAAAATGTCGTAATTCGCTGAATCAAACAAATAGATAATGTGAAATACAATACGCTTTGTCATATTTTCTCTTTCTTAACATGCATTTACTGAGTCATGATTAAATGACTGAAATGAATACACAACACAAAAACAAAATGAAAAGGTTTAGTGCAATTCAGTCTTGCCCATGCAAATCCCTGTCATAGTTTTCATGAGGAGGTACAGGGGAGTGTTCTCTTTTTTGAAATGGAAATGCTGAAAATGAAACAATCCACTGTCCAAACACAGCCTTGGTGCTGAACCACAGGCAGAGCATATCATCTCTGACAGAGCTGATGAGCCATGACATGAAATACACAGAACAATGTGTGCTGCATTTCATGTTATTTCTTTGCTGATTTGTTTTAATCTAAACATATTAAATCTTCTATCATTTTAAACAAGGTAACTATCAAGCTTTGTGTGTAATGAAATGAGAGGAAATAATGAAATTAAATCTGGTGAGGATGGCCTGTAGCTGGAAGTATGATAGTGTCATCAGTGACTGCACAGTTCTTGGAAACAGCGTGTTCACTGATGGCAAGGCAGATCTGCTTATCTTGCAGGTTTAGACCAGCCACTGCTGTCATTGTTGTGTTAATTGAAATTCACTGTCACAGCAAGGATCAAATGGGCAGCTATAATGTCACTGGACACAATGACAGGTTGAGAATCCGACCTCACCCGATCCAGGGTCACTGTGGTTCGTACACAGAGGTCAGTGAGGTCAGGCCTCTCTGACCAAACCCCAAAGCATGCAGAGTGTGTGTCTACTTTGTTGCTGTGGAAGTCCAATTTGTCATCTGCTGCCAGAC